GGGCGGTCAGCCAAGACAGTGCGATAAAATTTATCCACTTAGTTAACACCAGTGGCTGCTAATCTAGATTTTAAAGTTTTTTTGATATGGAATTAGTTACATGTAACTGTGACCACCTAAATATTTGTTTGTTTGTAAACAAATCGGTGAAGTGTATTACCAATTTCTCATATATTTTTATAAAATTGTTAATGAGCAAACTTTCAAAATGTCCAAGTTTAAGTTTTTCAGATTACTAAGAAAATCAAATTTCATGAATAATCGAAGTATATTTTTAAGTGTTAGTTTAAGGGATTCACAGACACTGCCAAAGAAGCCAAATTTGAAATCTCTTTTGAATAATTCAATTTCATATATTGAAAATAATGTGTTGGATCCTTGGATAACACCAGAGTATTCCGTGAGAAGAAATAATCAATCAGATCATTCTATCCGTTTGAATGTCAATCCGCGTGAGACATCTGTGTTACTATTTCCTGGGCAGGTTTGCTTATTTTAAATTTTTGTTTAAGAATAGGTATTTAACTTCATTGAAGTAAAAACTGTTTACAAATTTATATCTGTTGCTATTTTGTATTGTTCTATTTCTTATCAAATGATCAATTTGTATTTTATATTTGTACAATATTTAATTTATTTTTATTTTGCTGCAAGAAGTATTAGTTACTTTATCTACGTCGAACTACAGCTGCGCACTTGGCTATTGGTGTTGGATAAATCTCTGAGGATGATATGGATCTGCCGCAAGACTTTGTATTAATTTGTGTGCACACAAACTATTTCACTTTTTTATTTTGCTTACTTTACTATTTTGCTTTGTTACTAATTTTACTTTGTATATGCTATTATATGATAAAAAAATTTCATTTATAAAAAGTGTGGGTACTTATCCTTTATTGTGATCATAAAATCATGTTTTCTATCATGTACAACGTCTGATTCAGATTTACACTAGTTTTTGATTTTGGCTATCTATCATACACAAAAGTGTATCAAATACGACAATATCGCAATATTTATATAACGATACATATTATGTATGATTATACTGGAATTATTATTGATAACATGTCAGAAAGATAATATCTTAAATATTATACTTAACAATAATTATTGAATGTGATATTGTGAGCGTTGGTCAAAGGGAAATATTAACCTATGTAAAAATAATATAAATTAGTTTAATTGGAGAAATATTGCAATACATGGCAAATTATCAATATTTTTTTAACCATTCCCTGCAGTATTAAAATTGTTATAGGTATCAATGTTTGAGTTGTCAAGAATTTAGAAAAGCTGTTGACTCAATATGTGGTTCCTATAATTGTTAAATACTGAAGTGTGAGATTTCTAATATTATTGCATGTTGTATCTTTTGTTAAAATTTGTTTTAGGACTTTGCAAAAGTGTTATTGGGTTGGTAAGAATTTGCATTACCCAGTAACTTCTTCATATTTCCCGATTAGTTGATACTTATCGATCTGAAATTGACGGGATTCAAGGTTCCATCCCCAGGGGTTTTAACCTCAGTCTTTCATAATACATCTCAGTTGCTTAACCACCGTATTAAGGTTACTCATATATATATACCATATATTTTTTAATATAAAAACTTTGTTTGTACAGCTGTTGTACCAAATTTGTTTCGATTGTAACCTAAAAGTGCGGACTACCAAATCTAAAAATAAAAATTTATTTTAATTAACATTGATAAAACAGTAACAAAATGAACATAATGTCATGTACTGGTGCATACTGAAATTATTTTCTTAAAAACCTAATACTTCTTTAAAGGAAAATAATTATACATTATGTATAATTGGAAATTTTTTTAGTATTTGTTTGCTTTAAAAAAAGCTAAACATTTTATTCACATGCTGGTTTCGAAATGATTTTAATCTTGCCTTTCTTTGTTTAAATTTTTTTTTTTTACAGTTTTTACTACTTAAAAAAACTGAAATAGTTTAATTTACTTTTAGGGTTCTCAATTTGTTGGTATGGGAAAATCTCTTTTGTCATATCCTAATGTTAAAGATATGTTTGAGTGTGCTAGTGAAATATTAAGATATAATTTATTGGACCTTTGCATAAATGGACCCCAAGACATGCTGAACATGACTGTACATTCACAAGTAGCTGTTGTAGTTACATCATTAGCTGCTGTTGAAAAACTAAGGGCAGAATCTCCCAAGGTAATATCTCTTCAGAAATATGTCATTAGTATACTAAGTATATAACATTCTAAACGTTTTTTCTTAATTTTTTACTTTATTATATTTCTGAACAATAATTTAATATTTTGATTTGATTTCATTCTTTACTTGTGTTACAATTTATTTTTATATGTTCTTTATTTTTTCATGTTTTTTAAGCTGATATACTTGATCTCATAAAATTCTGGATATTTATTACTTTTTTTTTACAAAATACCTTTTTTCTAAGCAATTTTTTTCCACAAGCTATTTCTTATTTTGAAAACAAAAAATATTTCAAAGAGCTAGATCAGCAGCTCCCAAAAATAATCCTGTAGTTCTGTAGAAGAGATCCGGGGGTTCCAAGAGTTAGGACTTTTTATGATTTACAAAAGCGCAACATGAACATCATTCCTGTTAAGTTACAAGGCAGGACGAGTTGGAAATTTTTACACCATTGCAGAAAATCAAGTAAATTATGTATGACAATAATAGTTGGTTGTAAACTTGAAGATGCAGTGAAGAACTTCTTAAGAAAAATGGCATCTCTAATTTTAAGTTGAAAACTGCCATAACTACAAAATACCTGCACAAATATGGTTTAGATTTTCAAACTTTCCTTTTTTTATGTAATGCTTACAAAATGTGAGTTGACTATTTAGATTCTTGTTCTAGGCTTGGCGATTATATATATGTGTGTTTCTGAACTGTATTGAGCTCTCTTTCATAGGCTGATGTTGGTCATTCCTATGTTTGGCATATGATAAAATTTTTTTTTTTTTTTGCTTTCTTTGTCATGTTAAAACTAAAATTTTAGAATCTATCATACAAAGATAAGAAGAAACTGCATCTTTATTAGTTTTTATGACTATGAGTTATTTTTAAAATGGTTTTAATGTTTTTTACATAAAAAAAATATATTTCACTTTTAAATATGATTGTTTTTTCTTTCAAGGCAATAGAAAATTGTGCTGCTACAGCTGGTTTTAGTGTTGGTGAATATAGTGCTTTGGTATTTTCAGGAGCTCTTGAATTTGAACATGGTACGATTTATTTTTTTAATTTTAATTCTGATAATTTATATAGTTTAAGTGTTATATTTTTTAGGAAAACAAAAATCCTTAAATAGTCTATACCCTTGTTTTATTGTCCATTAGAATGTTCAGACTTAGATCCATTCTTTGCAATTTTGAATCACTTCTGAAGGAAATAATTAATGCATATCTTATATGCATTCTAAGCCGAGATGGCTCAGTGGCTAAGGCACTGAACTGTCATTGTGAAGAACTGGGGTTCGATCCCCAGTGGCAGCTCGAAGTAAATACGGCCTGTGCGTAGTGCTAAGCATATTGTCACAATCATGCTGTTGGTCATAAAATTGAGTAGCCTTAACCTCCATCACTCCATGGCCATGGGCGGATCGTGAATTTGTGGGGCC